AAACCTCCCAGGACCCACAAAATAGTGTGTGACCACTCCTGCTGCCAATGCAAAGTTGTTGAGAAGGAAGGGCTCCCTGGAGGAGGCTGGGATGGACAGAGAGCAGGTTCCAGCTACATGGACCAGGCTCCAGTGTCCAAGATTTCTGGCACAGTCTGGAGGACTAGGCAGGTGGTGGAAGTGAAGCAGATGGGGGAGATTTTTGCACAGATGGACCATGAGGTCATCACGACTGATCCTGGGGCAGAGGCCATCTGTTTGTCTGTCTGCCCTCTGCCCCAGTTTTATGCATCTTGCTTAATGTGAGCAGCTGGTGTCTGGCCAGGTGTGTGTTGCCATCAGAGAGACAAGCTGGACTCTACAGGCGCTGGTGCTGGCGGGGCCCCCAGCAGAAGGCAGGGTCTTCAGAGGATGCTGCCATCTGTAAGGTCTGCTCAGCCCGCAGGGCCGACCCGGGCCAGGACAGAAGGCCCAGGCTAGGAGGAGGGGTCCTTTGCTGTGATCTCAGTGTCTCTTTAATACCCAGTGGTAGAGTCCCTTTAACACCAGGTGCCAGGCACAGAAGGCCCTCGGGTGTTAGCATAAACAAATGGATACAAACTCTAAGGATGCACATTGGCAGGACCAGGACTTCCTCCAGAGTTGACCTTGATGGAGAGGAGCAGAGTTTACCAAACCAGTATCCTGAAGAGGTCTGCTGCTACAGAGGTCACTAGAAAGTTCTGTGGGAAAGACTGGGTGAAACAAACAGGTCTCTTTACTCTGGGTCTTCCCAGAGCCTAAGGTCTGCTCAGATACAATGTGGATATTTAAGATGAGGCCATAGCATGCAGCATTTCCTGAACTCCGCCTCTCAGGGAAATCTTGGTCTGGGAGATTTTTATCAGTATCTCCTGGGGCTAGAGCTTCATAGAACAGAATTTTCGAAAACGCCTCCCAAAGTTTCCCATGTTGCCCGCTTCTGCTCCGCAGGGCACACCCTCCTAGACCCTCCAGCACCACCTGCACGTTCCTGCCTCCAGTCGCTTGCTTATGCAGTACTTGCCCTGAATGCTGTTTATTTGCCCTCTCCCTTTGCGTATTCTGTGCGCCTTAAGTCCCATCCCCTCCACCAAGTTTTCCATAGGCTTCCGGGGGGACATAACCGCTTGCTGCTTTCATCTCCGCAAATGGGCTGCAGCTGACTCATGTTCTTTCTTTGTGTCCTGGGAGCACAGCCCAGGGCTGGGCAGGTGGCGCTCCAGGAGTTTGATTAGTTCAGGCCCTGCCAGGTGTGCGGAGTGACTACACCTGTGGGCAGGTGTGAGCCTCACCTCCAGTT